ATATATATATATATATATATATATATATATACACATATATACACACACACACACATATGTACTTTTTTATGTATATAATTGATTCCAATTATGATGTATGTATATATAGATCAAAGTAGCATTTTGTATTTCACTATGTGTTCTGATCTGAAGAAGGGCGTTAACATAATAGCCCCAAACTGTTTGTTGAACACTATGATGTATAGCTTTGTCCATTTTATTGGATCACTCTTCCGTATGGTGATTTTTCAGCAATAAAAGTTTTTTATTTGCAGAAATTCAATTTTCTTTTTTCTATATTTGGCCTTTGGGAGGGCCTGATTGCTATGTAGTGTGATTGATCACCGTTGTGCACTCCACCTATATTACTGATATATAAATATATAGACTTAAATACTCTATTTAATTCTATATTCTATTAAATACATCATTGGCTCACATGGATGTTTGAAATAAGCGCAAAAAACTGTAGCATGGGCAAAGCTCACGAACTTAGATTGGACTCTATTCTCGAGAGCATTCCTTGTGTCCTATCATTATGTGAAAGCATCCTGTTACTACATTGCATTCTACTTAAAATATTTTAACTTGTGTGGTCACTAAAACTGAAAAATATGAAGATGATCAAGTTTTGCGTGTTTGGCATGTAGAGTTATCCTGTATGATCTACACATATTATATTTCAGTAAAAATAAAGCTGCCTTGGTATATTATATATCAGTGTAAAATTATCAGGAAAAAGTCATTCATACTGTATTTAGTTTTGTTGCTCTTAAAGCAAAACTCTGGGCAAAAACATATTTACATGTTCTTGTTGCTGATTTCCTACCTTCACTGAATATGTCATCCATCTTCTGGGTCAGTCAGTAGTTTGACTTCTTGTTTGTAAGACCATTGACAGCTATGCCTCCTATTCCCCCAGCCACTGGTTTTGGCACATCCCTTTCTCCAGGAAGCAGTGATGTAATTCAGCCCCACTTGCAGTGGTGGGTGGACTGAGAGCCTCAGACACATTCTACATGTACAGACCAAGTGTACCCACCCACATTCACTACATCTCCCTATGGTTGATGGGAACGGTAGTTTCCTTTTACTGCAGAGAGAGAGGAGAGGGATATGGTGTAATCCTTGCTGTCGTGAACCAAACTAAAAACGACTAGTTATGGACTCAACCAGTATTAGTGGGTTTTTATGTTACATATATATATTAAATGATAAGGCTGGTGGTCAAAAGCACACAAATGACTCCTTTATTTAGACAAAGACATATCTAAAAGCAACAAAAAAGCACCACGCTCCACAGGTTTAGCATTGTGTCCCCTCCAAGGGTTACCAGTAATTTTAGCTGGATAAGCATATATATAGCATCAAAAAGCTTTCTCTAAAAGAACCATAAATGCTCAGCATGTAAAGTTCCAAGATTGGTAACTATGAGTCCTCTTCAATGGATGATCCTTTTGTCATAAAATTAGCATGTAAAGTTCCAAGATTTCTGGTACCCCTTGCTGGGGACACAATGCAAGACCTGTGGAGCGTGGTGCATTTTGTTGCTTTTAGATATGTCTTTGTCTAAATAAAAGTCGTTCACGTACTTTTGACCACCACTAACCCTGGTTGAGTCCATAACTAGTCGTTTTTAGTTTAGTTCACTATTGCATTTTTGATTAGGGACTCCCAGATTACCAATTAATATTGACATTGAGGCTTCTGTTTGGAGGTTTTTAATCCCTGCTGTTACACTTACTCCTTGGTAGAGCAGATGCTGTTATCTTTGAATTACAGGCATGAGGTCCTGAAAATTCAATCAGACGTTTCTGCTAGGTGGTAAGGATTTAAAAAAACTATAATAACTGTTTACAGTTTTGTGTAGGGGGGTATACTAATGGGTGATTTTGTTTCCTATCTCAGAGTTCTTTAGAGCTGAATTCCAGTTTTGTAAAAATAAAATAAATGCCCAAGGTGCTTAAAGTCTAATGTTAACGGTGAACTTCTCATATTTGCTCTCTTTCAGTTTGCTAAATGTATCATTAAAAGTGTTTTGTTATATCTGATGCATAAGTGCAGAAAATACCTGTTGATTTTGCCAGAAATCTTGTGAGCTGATAATTTCCTGTGCTTTCTGCCTGCGCCTAAGGATGGGTTATAGAGATGAGGAGGGGAAAGAAGATAAGAGAGGTCTGTGTTCTATGTAATCCATCAGAAAAGTAGGCAGGGCTGACAACACATGCTTTGAAATTATGTGCTCTGTTGTCAGGAATTCCGTGCTGTGTTGTGTGTTTCTGGCACATCAATTAGTCATTTTCTGTACTTGCAGCATGTGTAAAGGGAATTAAATATGGGGAAATGTGCATGTATGGCAGAGACATATACTTCTAAAAAATAAAAAAAAATTCAGCTCTCACTGCAATACTTACCTTGTCTCCAGAGCTGCCCGCTGTAGGCTCGCTGATCTGTCCAGCCTGACCTGGAGAATCTGGAGCTGACTAGAGTTAAATCAGTTTTAAAGACAATTTTTTAAATTAAATTATTAAATGTTATACTCACCTGCTCTGTGCAATGGTATTTAACAGAGCAGTCCCAAACCTTCCATTCTGGGGTCCCTTGCTGGCAATCTTGGCTCCTCCTGTTCTATGTCTGCCTCCATAGCAGGCGCTTGCTATAGGGGCAGACATGCATGCTCGATCCCGAGCTGGGCTGTGAGCATCCATTTTGGGGGGAAGAGCACAGCAAGTGCCAAAAATTTTTTACATTAATGCAGGGAATAAAAGTAATATATAAATAAAAAAGTGCCGCGCTCCCATATAAATATCTTAATAAAAATGATGCTGTATATCACATATATCACTCTATATTAAACAAATATATTACTGTGCTAATTACCCTTTGTAAAAACGAAAAACCATATCAGTATATCCAAGTCCATATTTAAATATAAATATAAGTGTGCACAAAGTCCTCTTCCGATTAGTTCAGCATAAAAAGTGCCACTCCCAAAATCCACGTGCAGTGTGTACTTAGTATGCGCTCACCTTGTGTTTTGCCTAAGATGATAAGCAAAAAACACTTGTTGTCCTCATAGGACTGATGTAACCATATTCCTCCTTTTGTAAAACTCCTCCAGATATAAAATGGACCGTTGTAATAATATATTATTCCACCTGGGGTCTCTCCAATCTGTCAATATACTGTATAGAGGAAGGATATGATGAAGTCACGTGACCTGGTGACGCAACGTGTAGGGGAGGGGCTCTGACGTCATGACCTTGTCTCGGATCAGTACGGCGAGTATAGCAGATACTACAGGCAATGCTCTCACTAGCTTATGGAAGAGTATAATCATGTGAGTGGCAAATCTGATCATTAATAAATTACCATTTAAAAAGGATAAGGCACCATGGTTTCTGTTTTTCTCCTGTGATACCCATCTGAGATACATCGAAGAGAGAATATTTAGAGGTGGAGGGAGACCCCTGGAGGGAAATGGGAGAGATCCATCCATCCATCCATCCATTTCCTCTATACAGTATACTGATAGATTGGAGAGACCCCAGGTGGAATAATATATTATTACAACGGTCCATTTTATATCTAGAGGAATTTTACAAAAGGAGGAATATGGTTACATCAGTCCTATGAGGACAACAAGCGTTTTTTGCCTATCATCTTAGGCAAAACACAAGGTGAGCGCATACTAAGTACACACTGCATGTGGATTTTGGGAGTGGCACTTTTTATGCTGAACTAATCGGAAGAGGACTTTGTGCACACTTATATTTATATTTAAATATGGACTTGGATATACTGATCTGGTTTTTTGTTTTCACAAAGGTAATTAGCACAGTAATATATTTGTTTAATATAGTGTGATATATGTGATCTACAGCATAATTTTTATTAAATTTTTAAGATATTTATATGGGAGCGCGGCACTTTTTTATATATTACTTTGAGTTACATAGCACTATTTGATGAGTTAGTGTGAGTGTCAGCAAACCACAGGTGGGTTTATTTATTCATTAAATTGATTAATCACGATTTACCATAGTAGCTCACAAGTAATCACACATTTTTTAATGCAGGGAATAAGTTTTACCTTTAGAACCACTTTAAAGCATTACCTGCAAGGTAAAAGTCTCCCCACTAACTATTCCCCCTACCCCTCCAAACACCTGAGCCTGTCAACAACCCAGTGCTGTGCTGGATTACAGCACTTCCCTCTTCACTTCCTGGTCTCAGTGGAGACTCAGGAAGGAGGAAGGGGGGGGGGGGGTGTTGTGGGATGCATGGCTGAGCATCGCTGAGCGTGTCTATGGACACACACAGCCCAGTTTAGGAGCACGCTTGCATGGGTGCCCCAATAGCACACAGCTTGCACCCGCAGGAAAGTAGGAGCAGGGGGGGCTCCAGTTGTGGAGGTAGAGGAGCAATACCATTGCACAGAGCAGGTAAATGTAGCATCTTTTTTTCATTAAAGCAGAACTTTACCTAGAACAACATGATAAAAAATAATGCTCCATAGCAAGGAACATACATTCCACATTAATGATTATACTACCAAAATTGGTGTTGCTGTAAATTGCCTCTGGTATTGTTCCTGTCTCTTCTTGCTGGAGGCTGCCATTTTGCTGAAGTCCAGAGCTCCTGAGCAGCAGTAAATCTTTAGACTTGTCAGCAGATCAGCCTCAACATTTTTGTCACAGTGCCGAAAAATAGAGAGCAACTGTGCATGTGCAGAGCAGGGTGAGACAGCGTATTACTGGATTTTAAACAGTATAGGCACCTATTTTTAAATGTTTCACCTGCAAAAGAATCCAGCTTGAAGTGATTTAGCAGGACTTACTTTTCTGACTAAAGTTCCACTTAAAAAAAAAAAAGGCTTTACAATCACTTTATAGCTGAGGAGTAAGTTTGAAGCTGGAGCCTATGTGTTTACAACTGTTGCTGACTGGTACATTATTTTATATTGTTTTTTTTTTTTTTTTGCTTGTGACATTTTTTAGGTAAAGGCTATAGTATTAGACTCAAGGAATGGCTTTAATGTGGACCGTGTTCTCACAAAAAATGATGTACAGAAGCTCATTAAGGTAAGGACTGTAGCAGTTATATACTGCATATTCTTTTTCAGAAAATATGTATATCTTTGGTCAAAGGGAATATATTGTGGTTTTGTGTTTTCATTCTTTATTTTAGTCAGAACTAAGCACTATAATTAAAGAAAAGGCATTTTTTAGACAGGTAAACATGACATTTTACATATATATATGTCTTTTATATAGCCAGCAGTTAGAGTTGTGCTTTCCTTTTCACATCATTAGGTGATTGCTTCCCCTTTACAGAACTGGAATGACCTGGCAAAGCTTGGATCAATGACGCATGTCTTATATGGCTGCCTAGTCATATAAAAGAGCTGCAGAGCAAGTTGCTTTGATTTACCACATACAGTATTAAATGTTTAGATTGTATGAAGATAATGAAAAAATGGATACAAACTGTTAAACTTATAAATGTAAAAAATAAATAAAATAAAGCTGATCTCAAAGTGACACTAAACAATATCCAATTTCTCCAAAAAATAATACATACACATCCGCTACGTAATAGCCTTGTAATCTGTTTTTCATTAAATAATTTCTCTGCCTCCTTATAATGTCCTCTGTGAGCTCCCAGACCTCTCCTTTTTCCCCCGCTCACTTTCATTTTTTTTGGAACAAGCCATGCATGTTAGTTGTAGTCATGTGTACTGCTCTATGCACACGACAAATCCCATAACTCATAGTCCATAGCAGGGGCAGACTGACCATTTGGTAACTCGGGCACCACCTGAGGGCCTGGGGTCAGTAGGGGGCCCCATGAGATGCCCCTGGTACCTTTTTCATAGGCTTTTTTGAGTTTGGGCAAGGACACAGGGGCCCCATGATCCCCTACTGCCCGCGAGCCCCATGAGTTGTCAGTCCGCCCCTGGTCCATAGTCCATCTCAGTGAGCCAGAGAGGGCCACTGAGTCCCTCATACAATGGGACCATAGAGAAGGAACATAGCCACCCTCTAACACGAGACCATAGAGAAGGAACATAGCCACCCTCTAACACACGGGTGTCAAACTGGCAACACTCCAGCTGTTGCGAAACTACAAAGTCCCATGAGGCAGTGCAAGATTGACAGTTACAAGCATGACTCCCAAAGGCAGAGGTATGATGAGACTTGTAGTGTCACAACAGCTGGAGGGCCGCCAGTTTGACACCCCTGCTCTAACAGGAAGTCAGATCACAGCAAAAAAAAAAATTGGGAGGAGGCTGAGAGCATTAGAAGGTACTTTTTTAATTAATAGAAATGTATGGCCATATTTCTCTTGTTGGTCACAGGAGATGTCCTGCTGTTGACTGATGTCACAGAGCCACTTCAGGCCCTGCAAGGATTGCAGCCATATTGCTGGGATCCACCCAGCTGCCTGATTGACAGCTGGCTCCAGCTCTGAGTGCGTAGCTGAGAGTTGACATCAGCTTTGCCCCTCCTCCTCTCCAGCCTGCCACTCCAGTGAGTGCTGGAGGGGTAAAGTGGAGAGTGGTGACTGACAGTGTCTGCTCTGCACTCCAAGCTGACTGAGGACTGAGTGATAGGCAGTCATGCGATCACTCAGTCCTTGGTTTTAGAGCAAGCAGGGGACAACTGCAGCATTATTGTGATGCTGCAGCATAGAGGTGAGTATGTGCGCTTGTTTTTTAGTAACCCCAGACATCTTCTTTAAGAATGCATACTTTAATAAAATATTTTTTTTCTTAAACCAGAGTTTAGCATCACTTCAAGTGTCTCTGTTCTTGTTAGTGACTGTTAGTTGTCATTATTGTTTTCTCCTAGTGATGGTAGCAGTCCCAAAAGGTGTAGAACAAGTGAATTTCTACTTTTGCAGCCAACTTGTATTAATACCTATTTTATAACCGTTACATGTTCCCATTCACATAGCATAACTTAAAAAAGTAAAAATTGCAGTGTACCTCTGTTAGATTTTGTTTTCTAGAAATTCCAGCACTGATATATCTTACATAGTTCTCTTTGTTTATGCTGAGGCTGGGAAATGGTGTTTGCCATAATTAACCTGGTGCTAGCAGATCTTATCCCTTCAGTTATAAATTTGATTTGAACACTGTCTATCTTAACAAAGGGTTAAAGATTAGAAGCTGGGCTTCTCAATTCTATGTTAATGAGAGGGAACTCAGCATGTCCTTAGCCTTTCTATTGGGACAGCCTCATGCTTAACGTATTCAGAAATGCATGAACTCAGCCATGATACCTTCTCCTAAGAAATATCTAACAGGTAAGAAATATTTTTTAATGCTTCAGATACAGTATCCTGTGCGAATGGAAACACATAAAAAACATACAGTGGGGTTTTCTCAAACTTGACTGCAAAAGCAGAAATACAGTTTAAAGAGCTGATGTATAAGGGAAAAAATTGTTCATAATATTTCAGTCAGCCACCAACTGTGTCTGTGGAAGCTATAGGTGACAATTAACTATTTCCTATAGCTCATCATGTGCGTTGTTTTGTGTGCATTGCTCATAATAGCACAATTGGGGCTCATTTCCACTTATACTGCCTTTTAAAGAATGGTAATGTTGCCTTCTTGTTTTAACCGATGAAAGTCTGTACCACCACAATAAGGCCTTATTCAGGGGTGAGCTTAGTAGGAGAGATTATTATTTCCATGATGCTTTGCAGCTTAAGAGGAAAGTGTTAGGGGGCAGAGAAAACATTACTCAATCACATGTTGTTACTGCCCCTCAACCCTCACGTGTAAGCAGGGCCTTGTTCGTAGACATGTGCGTTTTGTTTCGTTCAGAATCAAACTTAACCGCTTTCCTGCCGCCATATAGCAGAAATACTGCTACAGGGCAACAGGGCTGCGCAAAATCATGTGTGTGTGTGTATATATATATATATATATATATATATATGTGTGAATTTGCATTTCCAGGTAGGGGGCACATTGGCGGCCTCACTTGTCAATCATCGGTTCACGGCCAGTGCTTCCCCGCTGGCACTTGGTGATCACTGTGTATCACCGACGGGGGAGAGACCTATATGTAAACAATACAGATCGCTCCCCTGTTAGCTCCTTCACATTACTTTGTATTGCTCTGCATAGCAGAGCAATACAAAGCGATGTGCTTACACAGTAAAGCACATACACAGTAAAACACAACACAGCACACAGTTAACCCTTTGACTGCCCAAATGTTGACCCTTTCCTACCCAGTGTCATTAGTACAGTGTCCATGCTTTTTATTAGCACTGATCACTATATTGGTGTCACTGGGGATGTCAGTGACAGTTAGTCAGTTCCCCCAGTGTCAGAATGCCGCAGTCCTGCTAAGTCGATGATCACCACCATTACTAGTATACAAAAAAAAAACAGTATCTATACCGACATTTGTAGTCACTATAACGTTCATGTAAACCAATTAATTTGCACGTATTGGGATTTTTTTTAGCAAAGACATAGCAAAATATATTTTGGCCTAAATTTATCACAAACTTTGATTTATATTTTTTTACTGGACATGTTTAATAGCTAAAAAATATTGTTTTTTTTTCTCAAAATTGTCGGTCTTTTTTTTTTTCATAGCACAAAAAATAAAAAATGCACAGGCGATCAAATACCACTGAAAGAAAGTTCTATTTGTGGGAAAAACAGGACATAAATTTAATTTGTCAGTTAAAGTAACTCAGCTCCGTATTGCAAAAAGTTGCCTGGTCAGGAAGGGGGGGGGGGGGCGTAAGTCCTCTGGAGGGCAAGTGGTTAAACAAATCCAAAATAACAAAATGCAATTCAGATTAGAAAACAAATTCGAAATGTAAACAAATTGCTGACTATTGCTGATTTACTTCAAAGACTGTGGGGGAGATTTACTAAAGCTTGTTCACTCACAATCTGTGCATAGTAGCCAATCAGCTTCTAACATCAGCTTGTTCAATTATGCTTTGGAAATAAACCTGGAAGCTGACTGGTTTCTATGCAGAAGTGCACCTGATTTTGAACTGTCCAGTTTTAGTAAATAAACCAGTGTGTGTGTGTGTATTAGAATATAGCCGTCTTTCAAAATTTGAATTAGAAAAGAATAGAATAAAATAAACAGAATAGAAGAAAAATAAAAGCATAGAATAGAACATACAAGAAAAGAATACAAAATAAAAGGAATAGAATAGAAAATAATAGAATAGATTACAATAGAATGGAATAGGATAGAACAAATTAGAATATAGCGTCTTCCAAAATTCAAATTTCAAAAATAATAGAATAGAAAAAAAAACAGAATAAAATAGAAAAAAACTGAATAGAATAGAAAATAAAGGAATCAAATAGAAAATAAAGGAATCGAATAAAAAAAAAAATGAATAGAATAGAAAAAATATAGCCATCTTCTGAACTTTGAAATTCGAATTTTGAATATAATAGAATAAAATAGAATATATCAGTCTTCCTAAATTCAAATTTTCGAGAAGAATAAAACAGAATAGAATAGAAAATAAAGGAATAGAATAAAAAAAAGAATAGAATAGAAATTCAAATTTTTGAATAGAATAGAATAAAATAGAAAGAATATAGCAATTTTCCGATATTCGAATTTCGAAAAGAATAAAACAGAATAGATTAGAAAAGAATAGAACAGAAAAAATAAAAGAATAGAATATAAAATAAAGGAAAAAATAGAATAGAATATAAAATAAAAAGAATATATTAGAATAGAAAAAAATAGAATGGAAAGAACATAGCCATCTTCCGAAATTTGAATTTCAAATAGAATAGAATAGAAAATAGAATAGAAAAGAAAAGAAAGGAATATAATATAACAGAATAGAAAAGTATAGAATAGAATAAAATAGAAGAAAAGTCATTTTCTGAAATTCGAATTTCAAATAGAATATAACCAGCTATTTTTCACAATTAATTTGAATAGCATATTTTCAATTCAAATACCTCAAATCCATTACAAAAATTCTAAACTGGTCAAAAACGAATAAACGAAACAAATTTCGTTACGAATGCAACAAAACGAAGTTAGTAACTTAGAATCAATACGAAACAAATTTTTTCATTCTGTACTTGATCATTTTCTCATGTACAGTGATGGTTGGAACCTTGTCTTTCTTGTCATTTAAGTGCCATCATACTGTATCCATAACCATCTTCTGTGGGGTGCTTTTATATAAAAAATAGTTGCTGGGCTTCAGTAGGAGAGCTGACGTGGAGTTGATGGACACTTTCCCAATTTTTTTGTCGTTGTTTTATTGACCTAATCAGTAGAAAGCAGCACCAGCAGGGTTTGTGTCATTTTGAAATTAGGCATGACTTCTCATGGGCTCTCAGCAGTTTGCTTTCAGTTTGAATTGTCCCTTTGTACAGCCCTTCAGTCATGTGAAGAACACATAGAAATTGTCAAGAACATTGGGAACTAAAGTGACAACATGCATGTGGACGGAGGAAGTCATTGAACATTTGGCAAGGGCTCTGGGAATGTTGCCACAAGTACTCCCTATTCTTTAAGCATCTGGCCTGCAAGGAATAACATTGGGCTGTTTTCATATAAAATCACTCTGATTCCCCGCAGATTAAAAAGTAGCCTATCAAAGTCTGCAGACTTTACTTGGTAGAAATTTAAAGAGGAGTGAAGCATCCCTTACATTTTTCTGGCCAGTTCTATATACAGGGAATACAGCCTGAAGAGTGTAAATTGGTGGCAGCAGCAGAGTAGCAGGTCTGAAAATTCGGGCATGCAGATCTTGCCTTTTATGTTTTTCTTGAGAAATATAAAAAGCCACTATATGGTCCAGCTCCCCAGAGTCTGGCTTTGGGTGGAATAGCCTTTCTGAATCATACTGTGTGTTTTGTCCTAAGACTTAGCTGGTTATTTTCTGTTTTTTTAAGCTTTGTGTGGACAGATTGCTTGACACGAGAAGTCCTTCACTAGAAACAATAAAGATGCAAGTGTATTTTGACATGAATTATACAAGTAGAGGTAAGCATTGTACTGTACCTGCCGTATAGTACACATTTACCACTAAAGAAGATGGCAGCTTAACTGTAAATATATTGAAAAATGATATTGTAAAGAGCTACGATGCACTAGGTTTTTTTTTATCAGAAATATGTTTTATTGAGAAGCTTTTTACTGCACAGTTAGATTACACAAACCACAAAGCATATAGATGTATGTTGTTTATAACTCTGCCCAAAATTACATCACCAATCTTGTCTCCAAATATCACCCAAACCATACCCTCCACTCCTCGTACGACCTCCTGCTCTCTAGCTCCCTTGTCTCCTCCTTCCATGCTCCTCTCCACGACTTCTCCAGAGCTTCCCCCATCCTCTGGAACTCTCTACTCCAATTTATCGGACTATCGCCTACTCTGCTCACTTTCAGGCAATCTCTGACAACCTCTCTCTTCAGGGAAGATAATAATGGAATCTTCTATTCCTCCTACCAGTCCATCCCCCACAGTTATTACCTTTTGTACCACTAGCCCCTCCCTCTTAGATTGTAAGCTCCAAGGAGCAGGGCCCTCCTAACCCTCTTGTATTGAACTGTATTGTTTCCCTTTATATTGTAAAGCGCTGAGCAAACTGTTGGCGCTATATAAATCTTGTATTATAATAATAATAATAATGTTGCTGTGCAACACCCAAAGATCATTTAACATGTTAGTGCGTTTAAAAAGTGGTCTTCACGCTTTTGTTAAAATAATACCTAGTGATCCTGCCATGAAGGTCCTTCTCCAGGATGTTATGGGGTGACCATGGTCTTGCAGTTGTGATTCTGTGCTGTCTCCCTGATGGAGGCTACAGGGGGCCGTGCTAGCACATATCACACAGGCATAGCCTACCACTATCACTAGCAAGAGGCCAGTCCACAGTAATGATGTGAAGAAAGTAAATGAAGACTGGCTGAAAATGGCTGGAGGATATGTTGTGCTGAAATGCAAACAGAAATATTAAAAAAATGCTTCATAGGATTACAGATAAAAGTATAGTCTTAATATGGGAAACTTGAACACACACAACAGAGAATTGTTATTAAAGGCATATTCGTCTGTGCTAACAATGCAAAGTTAATCCACATCTTAAAGTATAGGAAGGACTGCAAGTGGAATGAATTACAAATTGTCTGTAGGCAGTCAATGGCAGTACCCATGTTTCCATTCTGGTAGTTTCTCCTTAAAGTGGAACTAAACCCATTGATTTAAAGTGCAACTAAACTTATAAATTTAAGTGTTTTTTTAAAGCAAGTATATTCAAGGAATGGCATGAATTATAACTGGCACAGCTGCTTCTGCTCTCAACTAAACTGTGAAGCCATCAAATGGCTGACGTCATAATTGATCACATGTGCAGCATCATGGCAACTAAACATCAAACGGAGACTAAGATGGAAGCTTCCTCGACTGCAAAGGACAAGAGAGATTAGTTCCACTTTAAGAAAAAAAAAAAAAGATATGATATATTGCACCTCTGTGCTACAAATCAATGCATATAAAATGGATATGCCATCATATTGCTGGTAGATCTCATTGGAAATATCTTACCTAAAACATATAAACATTATGTCTTATATTGAATGTTAATACAGGGTGACTATATTTTCCTCAGTTTTCCAATTTCTATGATATTGTTAACAAAACCTAATAAAACATACCTTAAAAAACTTCATATTTTGCAGGAGAGTTTTTAGATGAACACCATCAGGTCCTGGAATCTAGACTTGCACCTGTGAGCAGGGAGATCACCGACAGCCGAGCTCGTACAGCTGAGGAGCTGGAAAGTCTATATCGTAAAATTGTTAGCTATGTGCTCCTCAGGTCTGGCCTCGGCTCCCCTACTGACATCAAAGTTGTTAGAGAAGCCACAGGTCTGTAAAATAAAAGATACATGAATGTGTTTAATAAAAGGTAAAATGTAGATGTATCCTGTATGATGCATGGACCTGGTAAGGTAAGTGATGTTTGTGATGATAAATTGGTAGAATAGGAGTTACGAAACTGCATAATAAATATAAATCCAGTGTCATGTAAATCTAGTATTATATTTTGCAATAGTAAGGAGTGTTCGTTTAGTTGTTAGTTCTGCTGATTTGCCACAGAGCTCACTGGATGGATTACATGTGACAAATGTCGATGGAAAAGCATCATGTTATCTATAATATTATTTATGATTTGAATTCCTGTGTTTCCTTAGCGGCTCTTCAGAGCATCTTCCCACACACAGAGCTGGGCACCTTTTTGTCTTTATCTAAGAGGGATAAAGAGCGTCAACTGAAGGAACTTACTATGATAGTCACTGGCATACGTTTGTTTAACAAAGACTGTGGAAAAGGCGGAGAGGGAATCGATGATTGTAAGTATTCAGGAGATATTGTTTACTATTAATGTTCTCTGACTGATATTTGTGACTCGCCTTCAAACATCAGGGTGTGATGAGGCTGAAGTATTATGGGTAGAACTGCACATGGGGGTGTGTACTACAAAGGTAATCAGTGGAGTTTGTTATAGGCCCTCCAGTGTTAATGAGGAGGTGGAAACTCAGTTCCTTGCACAGATCGAAAGGGCTGGGACAGTGATAATAATGGGAGATTTTAACTACCCAGAAATTGACTGGAGTAATGGTACTGCAGGAACAGTTAAAGGGCAAACATTTTTGGTAAAATTTTATGGTGCAGTTCATGAGAAGCCCCGACTAGGAATGATGCTCTGCTGGACCTGGTAATCTCAAACCATGCAGAGCTTATTACGAATGGCCATATAAAAGAACATCTGGGTAGCAGTGACCATAACATGGTTTATTTTATTGTTAGCTGTAAACAGCAAGCACATACGGGAAAAATAAAAATGCTCAATTTCAAGAGAGCTGGTGAGTGCACATTCTGTTCATTAAGATTTATCATCCATCACTTCTGGATCATACATCCACACACTAAGCTGTGACCCTACAGGATCCCCACGTTTACATCTGCTACCGCACCCCAGCTTGCTCACCTAATGGTGGGGGATCCTGAGGACTGTGATCTGGTACTACTATGTAGCAAAAACCCATCTTCACCATCAAGAGATCTTGTGAAGACCGGATAGTGCTTAGATTCCGCACCTCGGGTGTGTCTATGTCACCCTCCATGGGAACCTGCTCATGTATTTATCCTGCTGAGTCTGTGTGAGCCTTTCCACTGGTATAGATAATGGCCTCCAAGCCTGACCCCTGACCGTGACACTGGGTAATCTGTGTCTGTTGCACAAATTTTAACAAAGCTTGTAGTAGTTTCCTACATTTTTCTGCTCTGAAGAAAAAGCTGTATGTTCCACTGTATCCTTTTCAGACTGTTTCCCAAATGGTAAGGTTAGGTTCATAAGTACTTGGTGCACTTTCAGTGTTCTAACGAGGTAAGTTGCAGTGTCTGCATCCCTTTAGAGATATTTAACCCTTAGAGAGTATCTAACAAAAAATGAAATGCCTATTGCAGAGGATGCCTAAAATTTTACTTGTATCTTAGGGGTCTATGTATAAAGTTTGCTAAACAAATGTGACACACACATCCACTTAGCTTTAAAATAATTTGCTATATTCTTTAAAGTAGAACTATCATGTATTTTATGATCGCCATCTAATTTTTAGTTCTATAATAAGGGATATGGCAAGTTTTGCTGGAGCTGAGTGGATGTGTGTCACATTATTCAGCTAACTTTTTATACATAAACCCCTTATTGCAGACATCTGAAAAAATCCGTAAGCCAATCACAGAAGCAGGAAATTACATTTCTGTTGGTGTTCCTTACACCAACAGCGTACAGAACGCCTGTAGGTTGCCATATTGTATTTAAATATTTTTACAGTTTTAAAAATTACAACAGCTTTGGTTGAGGTGACTGTAGCCGTATTAGTGCATTTGCGACAGAAACAATTGAGTACTGTCCGTGATACTTTTTTTTATTTGCACTAACAAACAATTTTGAGGACAAGCTTTCGGGGAGTGTCCCCTTCTTGGTGAAATGAAAAAGGTAATTCTTAATGTGACGGGCGCAGCATCAGACCCCTGACCTTTTCACCAAACTCGTGACCGAAGGACTATAAACATACAGAGCACAACAGCACAGCAAACATATAAAAGCACATAAACATACAGAGCACATCAGCACTGCAGACAGATAATAGAAAGAATTTTTTTAGGTAAATAAGTACTTGCCCACAAAGATACCTGGGGTAAGCAGTTTCAAGTCTGATGAGCTTAAAAGGGATTTCTGGTCTCGACTGCTAGTTTCGTTGGTTCATCGCAGGAGACTTTGCTTTCTCTCTGTCTGCTAGATTTTAAAACGCAGACAGTCCTCACTTCTCTGTCTACACACAAAGCATAACAGCTTCTTTTCTACTCAAAATCAACAGGGTGTCTCTTACAACAGAACCCAATTGCCTTATTTGGTCAAATGATTGTTAGGAAGGGCCTCGGCATCATACACTGATTGCATTTCTGAGGGAGGGGGGAAAGTCGGAGGGGGGAGACTGATTTTGAATTTAAGAGAAATACCAAAAATGCAGAAGTTTTGGAGAGCAAAATGGAGAACCGCGCCTCTCCCTGTGTGCATGATTGTGACACTTAATAACTTTAAAATGGTTTTAAAGGCTCAGCATTCTATGCATGAAGGTAAAAAACCTTCTGTGCAGCAGTGCTCCCAGCCCCCTCAATACTTACCTGAGCCCTATTGAGATCCATCGATGTGCATGACAGCCTTGGCTGTCCTGGTTCTCTGCCTCCTCATTGTCTCCCGCTCCCGCTGCTGTCAATCACGGAGAGAAAGGGTTGGGGCCAAGCCATGGCTCCATGTGTGAATAGACACATGGAACAGCGGGTGCCCCATAGCAAGCTGCTTGATGTGGGGGCCTTTGACAGGAGGGAGGGGCCAGGAGAGCCCACGGGGTCCTGAGAAAAGGAGGATCAGGGCTGCTCTGTGCAAAACCACTGCACAAAGTAGATAAGTATAGACATGTTTGTTATTTTCCAAAAATAAAAAGTTAACCTTTAGAATCGTTTTAAGAGACAAAATGACTTGTGTAGCAATTTTAAATGGTATATTATTTCTTTAAAGAAACATGAATAATGTAAATATTTCCACATTCATTTTCAAATAATTATTTTATTTAAACCAAGAAAATTATGAGTTTACTTATTTGGATGTTAACGTGAATGACAAACTAGCTTCAACACAATCTTACCCTGTGTTCCTATGCTTGTTTTATCAACAAATGTCATTGCTGGTGTTCTTCAGTAGCTCCAGAAATGCACTTCTTTCAGGCACTGAGGTTTGTGATTAATAATCTATCAGGAAAAAGGTAACGCTGGTAGGAGCAAATTACAGCAAAAAAAATCCATTGTGGCTTGGTCCCCAATCAGCAGAGGTACCAATTTATAAATCGTGAGTGTCTAATGAACCAAAAAACTCATTTATAGGCATAATTGTTTCTGGAGTATTTTATATTCCCTGACTGCTTTACAGCAGGCTTCTCTGTTAATGAATTTCACAACTGTCAAAAAATGTAGATGTTTTAGCTCTTGATACCCAAATGTTAACAATGCATCGGATCAAACTGTAGCCTCATTGTATCATAGAAAAGAATTAGCAAATTATAACAGATCCTGAAAATATACAATTTACTAAATTGTAACTAAAGGCAAACCTTTTTTCTTTTCATTTTGGATCACAACACCTGTCAGGTTTTTATTGCTGTCTGCACCCCCTTTAGGGAGATTCACCCTCTTTGTTTATCATGTTTACTATTATCATTAGAGATGAGCGAAGAAATGAAAAATTCGATTCGACTGATTCGGCGAATTCGTGGACAATATTCGATTCGAGTCGAATAAATTCGCTGTGAATTTAACTTAAAAAAGGGTGTTTCTAGGCTTCAGAGAGACTTAATATTAGTGCAGAACACTGTACCTTTAATTTAAATGCCCTTGGAGTCTGCTGGGGAAGAGAAATAATACTGTCTGTCAGTATGACATGCAGATGAGTGCCGTCGATCTTAGAATCACTGCACACTTCACTCCTTTGGCCAGTCACGGGGCCAAAACCAGTGTTTGGAGCCACAGTGTGGCGGTGGAGGCAGCAGGGGGGCCCATGGCCGTATGGGGGTTTTAATATAACCCAATT